GAGGTCTCCCCCTCCCCTGGGGGATTTTCACAGCCTGCCCAGCCTCACATTGGGTCTCAGCCTCATGCCAGCCCACTGACTCTTCTGTCTTCCCTTCTCCCCCAAGTTGCCCTGGGAAACTCACGTTCAGCTCTCTTGTCTGTTTCCATCTCCAAGGATGGCTTTGGACCGTCTTGTTTGCAACTTGTCTGCAAACCCTGACAAGTGCTCAGCAGAACAGTGGGGATTTCATGGAGCAGGACTGTCACTTCTAGAAGGCAGTGCATTCATTCAGTCAACAAAATCCTAGTAAGCTCCAGGAGGAACCACTAAACACTGTTTTGGGCTCCAGGGGCCCATGAGAGAGAGAGATGAAAATCTATCCTCACCGAATTTACATTCTAGTCCAGACAAAGGGACAAGAAGCAGAAATATAAAGCATTAAGTATGTTAGAAGGTGAAAAGGGCCTCGAGAAAAATAGGCACAGAAGCAGAAGAGCAGAGTGGGAACTTTGTACAAGGTGGCAAAGGAGAGTCATCTGAGAAGATGACATTTGAATAAAGAACTGAGGGAAGTTAAGTGAGCTTTAGTTGGTTATACTTTGAAGATTATTTCTTGACTTAAGTTATGAACTATGGTGTTAGAGAAGACTCTTGAGAGTCCCTTGGACTGCAAGGAGATCCAACCAGTCCATCCTAAAGGAGATCAGTCCTGGGTGTTCATTGGAAGCAGTGATGCTGAAGCTGAAACTCCAGTACTTTGGCCACCTCATGAGAAGAGTTGACTCATTGGAAAAGACCTTGGGAGGGATTGGGGGCAGGAGGAGAAGGGGATGACAGAGGATGAGATGGTTGGATGACATCACTGACTCAACGGACATGAGTTTGAGTAAACTCTGGGAGTTGATGATGGACAGGGAGGCCTGGCGTGCTGCGATTCATGGGGTCGCAAAGAGTCGGACATGACTGAACGACTGAACTGAACTGAACTGATGAAGTAGAAAAGGAGAAGAGATCAATTTTGTATGGCTATAGTAAGAATCAAATGAAACAATGTATGGAATAATTCCTTTCAGAAAACCAGTTAGTACATAAAATGAAAGTTGCTTAGTCATGTCCAACTCTTTGTGACCCCATGGACTGTAGCTCGCCAGGCTTCTCTGCCCATGGAATTCTCCAGGCAAGAATACTGGAGTGGGTAGCTGTTCCCTCCTCCAGGGGATCTTCCCAACCCAGGGGTCGAACCCAGGCCTCCCACACTGCAGGTGGATTCTTTACTGTCTGAGTCACCAGGGAAGCCCAATTAAATAGCTAGCATATAATAAATCTTAGTCTTATTATTATTATATAGAATGGTGCCCTCTAATGCAGTACCTGCTAGCCACAAGAAGCTGTTTAAACTTACATGAATTCAAATGCAATAGTATTAAAAATTCAATTTCTCAGCCTCACTAGTCACATTTCACGTTCTCAACAGCCACACGTTGCTGGTGGCTGCCACTTTGCACAATGCAGACACAGAACATTTCTGTCACTGTAGAAAGTTCTACTGCATACTGCTAAATAGACAGTCTAACGTTGATAAGTCAAGGAAGCTACAGTTTCATATATAACAGAAGTGTCATGGGACTTTGTTGTCTTAGAATTTAAGCTCAAGCCTTAGAGCTGAGGACAGTTTGGGAGACACTGATCCCACATATTAAAGATAGATGTCAGCAAAGACACATTTGTACAGGGCTTACTGCACACATGCGTGTGCTCAGTTGCTCAGTTGTGTCGGACACTTTGCGACTCCGTGGACTATAGCCCATCAGGCTCCTCTGTCCATGAAGTTTCCCAGGCAAGAATACTGGAGTGGGTTGCCATTTCCCCCCTACAGGGGATCATTCCAACCCAGGCATCGAACCTGTGTCTTCTGCATCTCCTGCATTGGTAAGCAGATTCTTTACCATAGAGTCCCTTGGGAAGCACCTCCAGGGTTTACTAGCAGAGGCCGGATGAGAATTTTGGCCAATCTCTGGTCTCCAGTCTAGATAAGAGAAGCCTCAAGGTCCATTGAGAGACTAGATTCTTTCAGGTGAATTCATCAGAATGGAGGCTGCTGTGGGGCACAGACGGGGAGTTTGTGATCCAGTTAAGCGAAAAGGGGGCCCACCAGGAGACCCTCACCCAGATGGGGTGTCTGTGGAAGGGGAGGCCAACATCCACTTCTGGCTGGATGCGTCTGACCCGAGAAACTGGTGTGTTTCCCCCTGGGCTGCTCTCCGAGGCAAGTAAGAAAGGGTTTTTGTGGAAACTTGTGGTGCCCAGAGCCCACAAGTATGAGACGAGCTCGAGGGGCCTTAGAACGCAGGAACCGGAAGTACCAGATCCTCGTCGCCCTTCCCGCCATGTTGGAACCGGTGCGGAATTTTTGAGCGCCCCCTGGCCACCCGGGTCGTCCCTCTCCTGTCCCATGTTAGGAAAGGTATTTGTCCTGTTCTTCTCCTTCCCCGTATAAGGAAATTACACCTATCTCACCCAATCAGCAAATGACTCACATGCTTCCTACTCTGTTTGTTCCCCGGCTACCAAAACAGGCAGATGACCCATACTTGTCATGGGCTTCCAGGTGGCGCTAGTGGTGAAGAACCCATCCGCCAACGTAAGACACGAGAAACGTGGGTTCGATCCCTGGGTCTGGAAGATCCCCTGGAGGAAGACATGACAACCCACTCCAGTATCCTTGCCTGGGAAATCTCATGGACGGAGGAGTTCATGGGGTCACAAAGGGTCAAACACAACCGAAGTGATTTAGCACACACACTCCCTAGCTGGCCTGCTCACAGCATCTCCCGCTTTAATAAACTCTATTCTCCTTTCATTCTGTCTCATGGCTGGAAATTCTTTTCCAACCTGTGCACGGACCATAAAAAAACCTGATGTGTGCTCTTAAGAATTTGCAGGGGGAGCAGGTGGGCTGTATGAAGGGAGAGGTCCTGGCTCCTCGGTGGAGAGGTTTAATGATGGGGAGGCCGGCAGAGCTGCAGGTGAGAATGGGCTGGGGAGAGAGACAGCAAGGCAGCCTGCCTCATTACTGTGGCCACCACAGAGGGGCCCTACTTCTGCCAAGTGTGTGCCATGGCAGGTAAGTAGGCTGAAGCCCTGTGAAGACCTGCCTTCATCCTTCACTCAGTCACTCAGTCGTGTCCGACTCTTTGGGACCCCATGGACTGCAGCACGCCAGGCCTCCCTGTCCATCACCAACTCCCGGAGTTTACTCAAACTCATATCCATTGAGTTGGTGATGCCATCCAACCATCTCATCCTCTGTTGCCCCCTTCTCACAAGGGACAAAATGTTTGTATGGTGAAGGCAAGTGTCAGATGGAGCCATAGCTGACAGATGTCACTTGGAAGATGTCTCACCCATGTCCCTGTGGGAAATCCCTGAGTGGACCACAGAAATGCACCCCCACCCCCACCCCCAAGGTAAAGCTGCTGTCTGGTTGCCTCCCTGAATGAAAGGGATCAACAGTAAAGAAAAAACTAAAAACAGGGGCCGAGGAGGAGGAACTGGAGCCAGGGAGTAAAGAAAACGCCGCATGTCCATTCTGGGGCGGGTCCCAGAGCCGGGAGCCCAAGCAGATGTGGTTAAGGCAATTCACAGAACAGGAAGAGCAGGGCTGTGGGGTTCACCTCGTCCAAAAGTGCTCCTCTGTGCCTATCAATTGTTGAAGGGCAGGTCAGCTGTTACCAGATCTTCAGGTTTTCTTTTCTTTATTTTTCTTAATGTAAATCATTTTGAAAGTCTTTACTGAATTCGGTACCATGTGGCTTCCTTTTTATGCTTTGTTCTTTTGGCCTCGAGGCATGTGGGATCTCAGTTCCCTGACCAGAGATTCAACTCTCACCTCATGCGCTGGGAGGTGGTCTCAACTACTGGGCCGCTGGGGAAGTCCCCAGATTTTCAAAAGAGGCCAGACTGCCGGATTTTGGTGTGAAGCTATGACATTTGCGAAACACAGTGTATATTTTGAATAGATTCTGTTCCGGGTTTTTGAACACCTAAAAATAAAACCTATTCTTTTAGTCAAAAACAATGGTACAGTTTTGAGATTTGCCCAAGCTGCCACCAGGGGGTAGGGAAGAGACATCACAGAGTATCACAAGTGGTGGAAGAAAGAACAAACATTACGGGACACTCTCTTCTGAATCTGGCCCATTTAATGCACCAGGTATGTACAGTATTTAGCTAAAAAGTTTAGTTTTTATTTCCAGGTACGGGATATATCTTTGCACAGAGGCATTTGCTAGTAAAGTGTGCAGATTTTCTTCTCTGTTCCGTGATTGAAGTCTTGCGGTCTGACTTTTCTCTCCATCTTCCCCTCGTGGAACTGGTTTCTTGGAGTCACTCTTAAATGATCTGTTCTTGCTTGCTCTTCTACACCTCCACCATCCAGCAGGGGCTCTGGGGCTGTCCTAGGGAGGCCCACAGATTCTCTGACACTCCTCTATTAACAAATGGGATCTATGTCGTGGCCCCTTTTCTTGAATCTGGGTGGACTTGTGGCTGCATTCACCAATAGTTAGTGTCAGTTGTTTGGTCATGTCGGATTTTGTCACCCCATGAACTGTAGCCTGCCAGGCTCCTCTATCCATGGAATTCTCCAGGCAAGAATACTGGAGTGGGTTGCCATTTCCTTTTCCAGGGGATCTTCTGGATCCAGGGATTGAACTCTGGTCTCCTGCATTGTGGGTGGATTCTTTGCCATATGAGCTACCAGGGAATCCCAATAGAACTCATTCTATGAGACTTCTTAACCTAGGTCTCAAAAGGCCATGCAGCTCCTATTTTTTTTTTTTTTAACTATACCAGAATACTTGTTTTTGCAACCCTGGGTCACCATGAACAAGCCCAGTTACTCCAAGGCCTTCAGGCTGTGAGGAGGTCTGGGCCACACAGAAAGGCCCTATGTTAGGCATGCCCATTGATGGTACTGGCTGGATCCAGGCTCAGTGCCACAGTAAAGAAGCCTCCAGATGATCCTAATCCCCAGTCATTCAAGCCATGTCCAGCTGTTTGAGTCTCCCCAACTGAGATCTCAGATACCATGGAACAGAGACAAACCATCTTTGTCTATGACTCACAGATTCCAGAGGACTTCCCAGGTGGCACTAGTGGTAAAGAGCCTGCCTGCCAATGCAGGAATCATAAGAGACACTGGTTCGATCCCTGAGTTGGGAAGATCCCCTGGAGGAGGTGATGGCAACCCACTCCAGTATTCTTACCTGGAAAATCCCATGGACAGAGGAACCTGGTGGGCTACAGTCCATGGGGTCGCAAAGAGTCAGACACGACTGAAGCGACTGGGCATGCACAGATTCCATGAGCACAGAGAAAAATTATAGTTAATATCACAAAGTTTTGGGGATGGTTACATAGCGATAAATAACTGGAATGAATTCTAGAATAACTGGAATGGACTCCAGACTCCAGCTGCCTTCCTGAGATTTACCCTTGGGTACAGAAACTGGGGATCCCATGTGGTGCTAGTGATAAAGAACCCACTTGCCAATGCAGGAGACATGTAAGAGATGTGGGTTTGATCTCTGGGTCTGGAAGATCCCTGGAGAAGGAAATGGCAACCCACTCCAGTATCCTTGCCTGGAGAATCCAATGGATAGAGGAGCCTAGCGGGCTATAATCTATAGGTGTCGCAAAGTGTCAGACATGACTGAGCATCCACGCATGCACAGACACCGAGGAGGGATTGCAAGAAGCCAACCAGTGAAGCTCTGAAAGGTGAACAGGAAACTGTGTAAGGGGGTGGGAGAGGAGTGTTCTGAGCCTGGATGATCCCGCCTGTGAAAAATGAGGGACAAGAGAGGACCTGGTTTGTTTGTAGACCTGAAATGTGTGTCTAGCATGACTGAATGCTGTGTGAGTGGTCCCTGTGATGAGGATTCCAGGTTGGAGGAGGGGCACGCGATGAGCCAGGAGAGGGCTGAGAAGAGTCCAGCCCCTGTTAAGTATATGATGGGATTTGGAATTTATCTTAAAGACAGTGGGAAACTTCTGAAAGACGTGATATGATCAGTCCTGTGTTTTAGGAAGTTTGCTTTGGCTGTTGTGAGGAAAGCTGATTGTGGAGAGAAAGAATAGAATGGAGGAGATGGATAAGAGACCAGGGCTATAGTCAGACGTGGGATCATGGTGGACTGGACTAAGAAAATGCTGGTTGGCAAGTAAGCAGGAGGCAGATTCATGAAACAGGTAGGAAAAGGGAGCCTGATGTGAGGTGGGAAGAAGGATTGGTAAAACAGGACAGAAGAATCGTGGACTACTTCCAAATTTCTTTCTTGAATGACAGAGTAGAAGTGGTTGCTATTCAATGAGACCGTTCAGACAAAATCAAAGCAGGTTTGAGGAAGATTTCAGTGATGAATGTGCAGTGTGCAAGGCACAGTGTGTGTTTCCGTGTGGAGAGGTCTAGTGGGTAGTTGATGTGTAAGACTTGTATCAAGGAGGAAGATTTGCACCAAAGCTTTACATTTCTGTCTTTAACATATGATCCACTTTTGAAGCCATGTTTATGGAGATCCCAAAGTGAATTCTGGGAAACAGAAACAGTGTCCTGCATGGAAAGTGATTATAGTAGATCGTACACTGTTTGATTTATCAGTATCACACCAGCCCCACCAAGAATAATTGGGTTAAAGCTTTGCAATTGTGATATTATATGACCTGCTTCATCGAGGCTTTATTTTGCTGGAAGTCAGTGTTTGACAATGATTTTAACATGGGGAAGGTCCATGAGGAAGGTCCAAAAAATATATTTATTTTTAATTGAAGGGTAGTTGCTTTACAATATTACCTGAGTTTCTGGCACACATCAACATGAATCCATCATAGGTACACAAATGGCCCCTCCCTCTTGAAGTCATATATTTTTTAATGCATTTTGTTCTAACCATTTTTTTCCCCCCACTCTGACTCTTTTCATTAGTGTGACTTTGGCAGAACTCCATACATGATCCTTTATTTCTTTCCAGCCATAGGTGGCAGCACACCACTGCCTACGATTAGACCAACTGCGTTTGTTAAGTCAGAGCTGTTGGTCAGGGGAGAGCAGCTAATGAGTAATCAGTCCAAGCTGCACGGCAAATTAATGTCTTCGTTAAGTGAACTAACTGGTTCCCTTTATAAACAAGGTCAGAGTATTTATAACCCAGTGCATTTCATAAAGCAAAATCCATCAGCATTGATGTGACTTCACTAAGGAACCCATGATTTATCTGCTAGGAACATATGCAAAAGCTCACTTGGAAAACCATCTTTAATAATGATTGGTACCATTCTGATGTAATCATTAATAAAAGGCACCCTTGCTAGGTAGCCTCATTTTTCTTATACAAGGTAAATGAAAAAGTGATTATCTTAAACAGGAACCACTATTATAAGATGATATTGGGTGGCCTGTTCCAAATTGAGTTCTTGGTGATAAAAATAAAGTGTGATCCTTATTGATCAAATACAGCTTTTGTCACTTTTGTTGTTCAGTCGCTCAGCCGTGTCTGACTCTTTGCGACCCCATGAACTGCAGCATGCCAGGCTTCCCTTTACCATCTCTCGGAGCTTGCTCAAAGTCGTGTCCGTTGAGTCAGTGATGCCATCCAACCATCTGATCTTCTTCTGTCCCCTTCTCCTCCTGCCTTCAATCTTTCCCAGCATCAGGGTTTTTCCAGTGAGTCATTTTTTCTCATCAGGTGGCCAAAGTACTGGAGCTTCAGTTTCAGCATCAGCCCTTCCAATGAATATTCAGGATTGATTTCTTTTAGGGTGGACTGGTTCAATTTCCTTGTAGTCCAAGAGACTCTCAAGAGTCTCCTCCAATACCACAGTTCAAGAGCATCAATTCTTTGGTGCTTAGCCTTCTTTTTGGTCCAACTCTCACATCCATACATCACTACTGGAGAAACCATAGCTTTGACTATATGAACTTTTGTTGGCAAAGTAATGTCTCTGCTTTTTAATATGCTGTCTAAGCTTGTCATAGCTTTTCTTCCAAGGAGCAAGCATCTTTTAATTTCATGCACCATCTGCAGTGATTTTGGAGCCCAAGAAAATAAAGTCCATCACTGTTTCCATTGTTTCCCCATCTGTTTGCTGTGAAGTGATGGGACTGGATGCCATGATCTTAGCTTTTTGAATGTTGAGTTTTAGGCCAGCTTTTTCACTCTCCTCTTTCACTTTCAAGAGGCTCTTTAGTTCCTCTTTGCTTTCTTGGATTTTCTTCACCATAAGGGTGGTGTCTCCTGCATATCTGAGGTTATTGATATTTCTCCTGGCAATCTTGACTCCAGCTTGTTCTTCATCCAGCCTGGCATTTCACATGAAGTACTCTGCATGTAAGTTAAATAAGCAGGGTGAATTGTCAGCCTTTGTTACTTAGATTAGGCAAAGCCTTATTTCACATTTAGAGTAGGTTGCATAGGTATAACATTTGATGTTTACTATCTACTGCAGGTCACATTTTAAGTGAATAAAATGCTTAATTTTGCCATCATTGTCAGAGAACTGTATGAGAAGCTCAGAGTATCTTCTCACAAAGTAACCAGGTGTCAGGTTCTAGAACAGCTCTGTGCAATAGAAATATAAGGCAAGCTGCACACATAAGCTGCACACACAATTTTATATTTTCTTGAAGCCATATAGATTGAAAAATGTAAACAGAAAGAGGAAATTAAGCTTCATTCTATATTATAGTTTATTTAACCCAATATATCAAAAGTATTTAGCAGGTAATCAGTATAAAGATTAAGGAGGTATCCTACATTCTTCTTTTTCACTCTGTGTATTTGAACTCTGCTGTCTTTTTTCCATTCACTGCTCATCTCTGTCCAGTCTAGCCACATTTCAGATGCTCAATATTCACTTGTGGTCAGTGGGCTCAGCTCTAAACACTTAGTATCTGTTATGGATTGAAAAATGTTTCCTCAAAATTCAGATGTTGAAGACCTAAACTCCAGTACCTCAGAAAGTGACCTTATTTGGAGATGAGGTCATTACAGAAGTAATCACGTTAGAATAAGGCCATGAGGATGCATCTGAGCTTCCTCGAAGGCTGCTTGGTAAAGAATCTGCCTGCAATGAAGGAGACTTGAGTTTGATCCCTGAGTCAAGAAGATGCCCTGGAGGAGGAAATGGCAACCCAGTCCAGTATTCTTGCCTGGAGAATCCTATGGACAGAGGAGCCTGGCGGGCTACAATCCATGGGCTCACAAAGATTGGCCACTACTCAGCACACAAACATTCAGCAGTGCAGAATGCATCCTAATCCAACATGACTGACGCAGCGAGGCCCTCTGGAGGAGACAGACTCACACGCAGGGAGAGCGCCATGTAAAGATGAAGACAGAGATGACTGATGTGCCTACAGGCCAAGGAGCACCAACTATTGCTGGCAAGCAGAAGCTGGAGGGGAAGGGTGGACTCTTCCTCACACCCCTCAGAAGGAACCAACTCTGCCGTCACCTTGATCATGGACTTTTAGCTTCCAGATACGCGAGACAATCGAGTTCTGTTTGTGCGTCACCCAGCTGTGAACATGAATGCCGCTCGTGATGTTGGCGGTGGGCACTTTGTTCTGAGCTTTCCTTTTCTTGCCTTGACCCTCTTCTCCTCCTTCTGTACCTTTTCCTCTGCCGTCACCACTCAGCCTCCGAGCACCCTCTCATGGAACCTCCGCGAATCTCCCTCCCAGGCAGACATGTAGCTGGGGTTTCCTGTTCAGCAAGCACGTGAGGGACCCACCCTGAAGTGGCAGAGAAGCCTGGTTCACTTCAGGTGTCCAGCGGGGGTCATATTACCCACGGGGTGGGGCCCCTTGTGGTTTACCTGCCAAGTCGTGTCTGACTCTGGCGACCCCAGGAACTGTAGCCCGCCAGGCCCCTTGGTGTGTGGGATTTCCCAGGCAAGAATACTGGAGGGGGTTGCCATTTCCTTCTCCAGGACTTCTTCTTGACCCAGGGATCCAACCTGCGTCCCTTATGTCTTTTGCTTTGGCAGGCAGATTCTTTACCGCTGAGCCACCTGAGAAGCTTCTAGAGCCCCAGAGGGCCCCCTAGAGCTGCTGTAATGCAAGTCAGAGTGCTGACCCACAAAGTGCTTTTGAAAACCATAAATAACTGTATAGATGAGAATGAGTATTTTGTAGATGGGATGAATGGTTTTCAAATTATTTTAATTTCTTCTCCCTGTAATTATCTGAGCTCCCCATTTTACAGGAGGAAAATGAATTAATGGGGAAAAGGCTGTGACACTTTCTTGCCATCTGGCAGGGGTGGTTTTCTGTTGGTTGTCTCTAGCATGTAAGATACCTGTCTCCAGCCAGCGCGGAAGCACCCCA